CTTTTAATAAGAATATTATAAAATCATAAAACAATTTACTGGCATTCATACGGCCCTTTCGGTGGCCCTACCAGCCCAATTGGATACCGGCCCACCGGGCATTTGCCCGATTGTCCATATATGAAACTATAATAACATCAAACAAAGCATTAGGATTTATTAAAAGAAATTTCTATAAATCAAATAAGAACATAGAACTAAAATGTTATTTAACCTTGGTTAGGCCAATAATAGAATATGCATCCTCCGTTTGGAACCCCTCAACTCAAGATAACATTATGAAACTGTGGAACAGACACAAAATAGAGCAGTGAGATTCATAACAAACGAATATTCACACTTAACCAGAGTAGCACCTTTAGTAAAATCACTAAATTTAGAAAGCCTTCAGGACAGAAGACTCAAAAGTAAAGTAGCAACTATACATAAAACACTGAACCATAATCTTCAAATACAAAACTTAATAAAATACTCTGAAAGACACAAAAATAAAGGCACATTCCTCGTCCCATATGCTAGGACAAATTTGTACAAATACTCCTTCTTCCCTAGTGCTATTAGAGCATGGAATGGGTTGCCTGAGCTAGCAAGGAAAACCAGTGACTTGGCAGAATTTAAGTCATTGGTTAATATGCATGACTAAATGCATGACGCGTAGGACGTAATCATCTTCTTTTTTTGAAGTAACGTCTGTATTATATAAGATAAGAAGATAAGATAGCCAGTCCGCCCCTGAAACTGACCTATAGCCACTAAAACTTAAATACACTTCAGGACAGAAGAATATAAAGCTATAATACATTAAACATTGAACCATAATCTACCAATATTAAAATAAAACCTAATGAATTACTCAGAAAGACACAAAGATAGTGGCGCATTTCTTATGCTGGAGCAAACTTTTACAAGAGTTCCTTCATCCAATAGTGGCATTCGAGAATGTAACAGTTTGCCTGAATCATCCAGGAAAACCAACAAGTTAACATGCATGACTAGATTGACACACGAAATGCGTAGGACGTAATTATCTTCTTTTTGAAGCCACGTCTGTAATCTATAAGAAAAGATAAGACAGGTCGAATGAATTCTTTCTTCATCTCAATGCAATGTGTGTTCTAAACAAATGCATTATTATTTCCCTTTAAGAGTTTAAATAGTGGTGTAAAAGAAAACAACAACGCTGGAACGCAGAGCCTTCCGACACGTACATATATGTAAACAGAATTGTCGGATCAGATGATGGGTAGTACTGATGGACTTTAGTAGATGAAAATATTGCTCATGTTACCCGCCCCCCCCCCCCCCCCAAAAAAGGCCCTTCCAAGGAGAAGGGACCACAGTTTACAATACAAATTCCATCTTATCTGAAACATAAACTACCGAGTAGGTCGAATTATGTCGATAGCTTACATTTTGATGATGTCAGCTCAGACATGTTCATCTTTTCAATTTTAAATCCGTCAGTTGCTAGCAGTATGATGTTCAACGCCTTGATAGTGTTGTACATATAAATCAAATCGATTGTGTGTATTTAAAGAGCGGGAATAATATTATAATAATATAACAAATTTTCAATATAAATCTCAAACATTTTTAGTGTAGGGGCATAAAGAAGTCGTCATTAAAAAGTTCTTTTCAAATTTCAAAGGTAATTTTAAGCTACCACTTCGGTCTAAATTTAAAACTTTAATGGGAAGCAATCTAGCGATCAATGCAATATTATTAATAATAATAATAAATTCTAGCACAAAAATGTATCCTCAATAATTGTATTATAATCGATATAGATTTAAAAAATGGAGGGTACTTTATTTTAATGCCGGCCTTTTTATTTATCGACGTAAGTAGGCCAATAAAAAATGGTTAAGTCTAATACAAGTGATTTCTGTTTTGACCACCTGCACTATATATTTAGCAGTCCGTATTGCAATCACAGGTGCACCAATATACAATCAATAGAGTTATAAATTATTATTGGCATTTGAGACTTTGAGAGTGTCATATTCTCGAGAGTTATTGCATCATTCAGGTTATATTACATTGGTGCAAGCCTAGAATATTCTAGTCTTCATTGTCAAAAAATGCAGTAGTAGAAGTGCCGTGTTAAGGACTTAAAAGCCCCTAAGGTATTTGTGATATGGAGCCCTTTATAAGTCTATATTATATGTACGTGCTAAATATTTGTTGTGTATTATTTGACAGCCTCGGTACTTTTACTTGATAACCTATGTGCAGGCATTGTTAGAAATAGAGCAGGCCTGCTTGTGAAATCAATTTCACTTCCCTTATTTTATATATTTCGTTTGCGCATTTCATTAACGATATATATTTTTTTTAAAGTGGATAGCACCAATCGTACCTAGAATGATAGAGTATGCAGACAGCGCACCCTTTCTAAGTTAGATCGAGACCAATCGTCATAGAAGGCCTGAACACTGACCTGCAACGTCACAACCTGTGGGCAGTGGAGACCAATAGCTCGTTATCATGTCACAGGTCTGTACGACTAGGCAACGAGCTATTGGTCTCCACTGCGCAAAGGTTGCGACGTCTCAGTTAGTGTTCAGGCCTAATATAACGAATGGTCTCGGTTAGATTCACAGACTTTAACCTACAAAACAGAGTGTAAGTAGGTCACTTCTGTTTTTGTGTCTGGAGTTTTCTTTTTTTAAAATCATATTGTTTCTACAAGCCCCAACATGTCGCAGTAGAACTAAATTTGAAGATTGCACAAATGTGCATATCCTTGGCTTGCTAACAGACCTCTCGACTCGATAGTACTATTCTAGCGTTTTAAAATTCCATTTGTACACCATCATTCTTTTGTCTCAGTGTTATGGGGTGTGTGTGTTTCGAAGGTGATTAAAGTGATTATTTATTGGAGAGAGAGGGAAAGAGAGAGAGAGTGTTGATTTAACTCCAGGATGCCAGAATTTAAAGACGTGTTTTTACTGTGAGCTATAATTAAAATATCAGTTTATTTCATTTGTCTATATTGTAATAAAAGTTTTATTTAACTTTGTTTACAAACAAATATTCAATTTTTCAAAGTTAAAATATAATACAGCGGTTTAGTTGTTTACCAGCAGTTTGGTGCTACAAGTCAACGACCCGCCAACAATAATAGCACTAAGCTTCAAACAATTACTTCAATCTATATAGATTTATTGCTGTAAAGATGACATCAATTTAAGACTGTGCAGATTTAAATTTACTTTATAAACCCTTTTTTAAAAATTAATATGAATGTAAAAAATAGATGCATAAATTTAAAATCAAGATTGATGCCATATAATGGTGTGTCCAACAAGACTTTATAAAGCACTGTCTCAATAATTATCACTTTTCATTTTTTAAAAATCTGGCCACGTAACTCTTGGCAAGGGACCAGAACTCTCCTGACACTAACATAATGTGTAAAGCACTCTTTCCTAACTAGAGACAAACAAACCTACCAAAACAAGACATTAGATCAATGTTATAATGGACACTTGTCATAAGGCCCCAAAAAATTGCGAGCTTTTATTTAGGGAATTGAATTAACAATTCAAATTTGAAAGGATAATAAATTTGCCAATTGTTCTCTAAGAAAATATATTGTAACCATTATTATTAAGAGTGAGATAATTATATTCCAAATATTAATTTTACACAATTGTCATCTTAAGAATCATGAATTTAAACATTTGGGCTAGCCTAGGTACCGTGAAATGGGGTGACTTTGCTTCAAGGGGTGACTTTGCCTATTCAATACTAAAAATGTGAAAGGCTTTAAAAACGTTTCTCCTGAGTTGTTTCCCATGAATTTTCATTTAAATATAAAAGAATATAGGTTAGTGTTTAGAAATGATACTTCATCTCTCTTCTGTAAGTAGCAAAACATGGCAGATACACGTTTTTGACTCAGGACCTTCAATTTCACTAATTTCAGCTGTTTTATGTGAGTTACAACTTTAGTTTAGATCTAATAGAATGTTAGCTAATAAAATGAACTTATGCATTTTTTTAGTTGTAATATGGTTTACAATTATGAGGGGAAGTTGTAATTAAATAATTTCTTAACAGGTTTTATGCTTAAGTGCGTTAAGGTAGAGGCAAAGTCACCCCCTCCTTATGTGTTGCATTTTTTCTTTCAGATAGTCATGCCAACAGTGTCCAAAAATGAAGCTGAGCTGACATTAACATAAAGATAATGAAGTAGAAGCTTTATTATAGCTATGTAAGAGTGAAAACACAAACAGGGATGAGCAGAAATTCAGCTGACAATGAGAGAAGATTGAAAAGAAAGAATATTTCTGTTTGGGCTATTCAGTGAGATTGGCGCAAGAAGGCAACATCCTTCACAGTCAACATTCTCAACATCAGCTATGTTCCAAGTGTATGAAAATAGATGAAAATAATGTCACTACCATTGAAGCACTTATATTCCAGCAGTGGGGAAATAAATTCTGGGTCAGATGAGTGGAAACCTCAACCACGAACAAAGAATTTGTCGATATATGTCATTGGTTTTAACTGTTTACTTTAAGAGGAAGCCATGCATTAAAAAGCTAAAATTTTGTGATGCCTTTTATTCAAAAATGTTGTCTCTATCTTAGAAAAAAGATTTTCTGTTCTATTTATTTTTAAAATACATTTATTAAGAATATAAATTTGGAAGGCAAAGTCACCCCATTTTTGAAAAAATGGCATTTTCACTATAATGTACTGACTTTATTTAATGTTTTTATTAAAGTGCAGGCATCCACTCTGTAGGAAAACAAGTTTATAGTAGTTTAAGTGTACTTTAAATATGGGTAAATTCAGTTGGAAGTTGAAAAGTGTGCAAAGTCACCCCGTTTCACTGTAACTCAGAATTTAATAACACCAAAATAGTAACTACATGGTCTGAAAGGGGAACTTTACTTTTAAAAAAAAAGGATTTGGCCTACTGCTGTTTAAAAAAGTGATTGAGAATTACTGTTGTAGCATACCTATAAAAACCAAAACAAGACAAGTATATTCATTAATCAAAAACCTTTTATTTACATGGAAATCACATGGTATATGATGGAATATACTTTTTTTTTTTCTTTTTTTAAATTTTGTTTTGATATGACATTACATATAATATATGGCAGTAAACAGAGGCTACTTAGGAGTGCATTAAACATGTATTGACAACCAATAAGCCACAATTAAAACAATAAGAAAAGTAGAAACTAATGAACTTAACAAAAATTCAATCAACACCAAATATTTCCCTTTCTAATTGCAGTCTAACTACATTATTTCTTCATGTGTTTAATGGCCTAATGCAATGAGATACCATTTCCTCATACATTTCAAGGGACACTGCACTACATATTGATGTTATACAGGTATGAAAATATTTGTATATATATAACTAAGTCCTTAGAAATCAACAATTAAAGAGCAAACAAACAGTTTCTTTTTGTAAACATTAAAATAAAATAAGTCAATTTTGTGACCAAATGAATTTAAATGTGTACCATCTTCTTTTGCAAAATGTAACTAACAGTTTAAAATACAAAGAGAACTAAATAAAAAATCTCATGCCATGTGCAGGGAATAGGCTCCAAACACATTTAATAGTGTTCTGGCCAATGCACAAGCGAAAATTTGATAAAACAAACTCTTACTCTTTATGTAAGAAATAAAAAAAAACAAAAAAACCACTTGGTCCAAAATAAAAAAAAAAAGATGAAAAAGATAAATTTACTTCAAAGAAATTTACTAAAAAAACATAAAAAAAAAAAATTTACTTCAAAAAAATTTACTAAAAAAACATAAGAAAAAAGAAAAATGTACTTCAAATTTACTATCTTGAAGATAGATAATGAGAAGAAAAAAAAAGTCTACATTGAAGACAATACTGATCCACAACATTGAGTCATACTCTTGGCATCATTACTTAAAGCAGTCATGTATTATAGATACATATATTGAATAGAGCAATCTCAAGCAGTAAAAAAATACTTTGGTTTGGTTTCATAGTAGTACAAATCATCAGCATATGGTATAGATTTATAGATGGTCATAAACTTTTTGAAATAAAAACAAGAAATATACTCAAACACAAAAATGTATGTTGCCATTTACCAGTCAACATCTATCTACAATCCTTGTAACAAACAAGAAACACAAATAATCTCACAAAGTAAACAAACATAAAAAAAAAATATAACAATACATCCTAAATTCTAACATTCAAATGACAATCTTTCCCAATATTTTCAATGCAAGGTGTCTTGATTGAATTTGTATTTGTGGTCAACTGATTTTGCTTAATCACTAAAAAGAATGTTTACAATACAATGCAAATGTTGGCTAAAGGAATTCTAATTTTGTTTATGAGCAAAGTTAACACTTGGATAAGAATCAGTGCAACTAATTAATGTAAGTTACAATGTGTACTCTTAAAAAGAAAAAAAAAGTAATTTAAAACTACTTTATAGCTTTTGGCTTACCAACCCCCCCCTCTAAAGTTCATTTTCAAATATGGTATACATGTATGTGTGTAACTTAGTAATAAAAAAATATTTAAGTGAAATAGGGCAAAATTTAGATCTTTTTTTTTTTCTGTGGAAAATAGAAATAATTAAGTGTTAATTTGAGGTAGCTTTGTTGAAAATTATGGGAGCAAAATAAAAAAAAAAAAAAAAAAGGATAAAAAAAAAACGCATTCTAGAAAGACCTTGGTTCAAAATACAAGAAAAATATATAGATTGTAAAGGCATGAAAACAAAAAAAACAAAACATTTTTACAGGACATAAAAACATGTGACTGGATGAGGCACACATACAACAGTTGACTACAACAAGCAAGAAACCACAGTATTAATTTTAAATCTTCATTCATAAAGTAGTAAAAATTAAAGTTGACAAGTTCAATGCCAATCTTACATTTATCAAAAGTCCAAAGAGAACTAGGACAACTTTCGTAACATTGTCACAAATCAATGAACAAATTCTAACACAAGTTCATATCTATTTTTTTAGATGGTTTCAAAGCAAAATGGTTTATATTTTATATTAAGAGCTCACAAAAAGATTTATAATGAAAAAAAAAAAAAAAATGGCCAAAAATTATTTACACAAGCCAAAAAAAAATAAAATTCTCCTTGTACAGGGCAATGTGAAAACAAAGGAAGACAAACAAAAAATGTGGAGTCATCTAATGCATGGGATGGAGGAGAAGAAATATATTTGAATTTTTGTGGAAGGAAATGGGGCTTACTATATTTAATGTGAAATAACAATAGTAGTATGAAGTAAAAACCGAAAAAGTAGTATTTTATGTGCAACCACATTTTTGGGGTTTGAGAAATCTGCTCTTAACTAAAACGGTAACACATGAACAGACAACTATACCACCAGCAACACTAAAGCCTTTTCTAAATGGAGAGCAAAACCTTGGGAGTGACACTTCATACCAAGCACTTAATTACATGGTCAATATAGATCAACATATGATATTACACCTTGATCAGGTCTATCTATTGTCTAAAATTGTAGTATGCATACTTTATGTGTTCAGTAAGGACTAGCATATATATGGTTTGTATATATATATATATATAATGTAAAATAATACTAAGTTATGTATACCATAAGGCATAACACGAGGAAAACAAATGCACAGTCACACTGACCCTTCAACTCGATGGTTAATTAAGAGAAAGCAGGAAATAAAACCTGTTTGGATGAGGATTGACTGAGCTAAGTTGTTAGAAGTTAGCTGGCGAAATGCCATGGATTCAGATGAAATCAAATCCCTGCCAAATTGGCTAGCTAAAGCAGTACTAAGCCTGAATAGCTTTTACAAAATTCTTTGTATAACTTTAAATGCAAAATAAATGTATATTATATTTAACTTTAGGTTATATCTAAAGAAGTTTAACCATTATGTCTATAATGCATCCACTACTTCCTCTATCTAGATCTACTATTTAAAATAAAATAAACTAGATATCTAGAAGATTTAAAAATTGATATACACAACTATTACTAGCTCTAGCAGAAAAGTACTTTTGTCTACTCAAGAATGCTTCAACTAGTCTATGACCTTGACAAAGCCGGGCCTTATGCTTATTTTTTAAAAATTGTTGAACAACACTAGGATCTAATCTTAAGTGTATCTAAAAGAGAAAAGACATGTTATAGTATGCAACATTAAAAGATTACATATAATATAAAGATTAGGCCTAAATCTAGACAAGATTGTTTATTCAGAATTTAACTAACTTTAGCAGACCTAGACACAAGGCTTAAAAAAAGCTTTGAGCGGTAAACAGCTCTGACCCTGATAAGGTCAGGCCTAAATGTATGGTGTTTTGTTTGTATCAGAAAAGTAAAATGGCGTTGTGTTTGAATCAAAACTATAATATTAACATTTTTTCAAAGCACTTAAGATTTTAAAATGTTTTCCAATGCAAAATAAAGATAGGGGATAACTTTGCAATGATTAAAGTATAGACCTTACTGGATCTACATAGGCCTATAAAAGAATGAATTCAAAGGACTAGTATTTAGGACAATAGAGCATTAAAAATGATTGCAATCAATATCTATAGATCTAGTTTATATATATATATGAAGGGGAAAAATACATACAACTGAATAATGAATGCAAACTAAACAGAACCAACCAAACCATAAAAAAATGAACTATTCCTCACAATCAACTGAGTACTTACATATTATATGCACTGGCCATAGTCTTTAAGCCAACACAAAGCGTGTAAACAATATTGAAAGAAAAAGCTAAAATGCTTTTTAAAAAAATGTTAATGGTTGCTAAATATTGTCAAAATGAATAGCTGAGACTAGGGACATGGTGATTCATGCCTAGCACTGGCCTCATATAGAATCTTTCATAGTGAAAGTATCCGTTAGTGACCTGATGAAATGATAGTCATTGGCCTTACAATAAGGACATATAATCATCCGACTGTATTGGCTGTAGAAATCCAAGCCAACAGAAACATCAATAACAGCACGACGACAATGCTTACAGGTCAACCTCTTCTGGCAGCAGGGCATGGCGGCAAAAATGTCATAGGTGTACATGGTGCCCACAACGAATGAGGTGCCGTCCCAAGGAGTTTTGCAAGAAGAGCACTTTGCTTCGCACGCGCCCTCTAGGCAGCCAATACACACTGCATTGAGGAACTGAATTCTTCCTTCCCATATCACTTGCACTACATGCTGATCGTAAGCCTGAGGGGATAAAAACAATGTCCCATCCACCAGTGGGAAACGATCGAAGACTGGAAGCTGAGATTTGCAGAGGACACAGCGTAGTGCCGTCATTCTCTTGGTAGTTAAGTTGCTGAGCACAAAATTTCGCGTGTCTTCATCTTCTTGCACATCCTCGATGTGAATGTTGTATGGGTTTCTCTTGCAACGGGGCAAGGCGTTAAATGCAGAGAGGTCCTGTCGTCTCCGGAACATGCTTGTCTGATTCGGGTCATATGCTTCACCTTTTTTGCCTTTAAAAAACACATTGCCGTTGACAGGAGAGCTGGACAGAGGGGAAATAGAGCCGGCAGAGCTTGGAATACTTCCGCTGCTGCTGGCTTGACTCCCCACGCTACCAGTGCTGCTCACGCTGTTAGTACGCATCCGAAGAGCACTGTTCGGGAGTATTAATGGGTGGCTTGAGAAAGTCATATTGACATGGTGAGCACTATTGTCCAGTATTTCCAAATCATGCCCAGGGTTATTTATACTGTTGTTTCGGCAACGCTCTTTGCCGACATTGCTCGGATTATTGTTTATAGTATTGTCACTGCCCCTGCGCCTTGAATTATCCGTGACTGAATCTCTACGAAGAATTTTGGTGGCGTTGTCCACCGGAAGACTAGGCTGTGGTGCCAAATGCTGGTGGTTATCCACGGCGTGAGGTTGTTGCATGTGATTATTGTTGTGAGCAGATTTATGGTTAGTACTCACCACTGGCATGGGCTTGTCGTTTTTCTTCTTGTTTTTGCGTACTTTCTTTGCATTTTCATTGTAAGGTGCTGGTATATAATCCAAATCTTTACGTAAATGTCCTCGACCACACTTACAATCGCATGCTTTGTAGGCTAGATCATATCCTTTCTTCGTCCACAAATTTTGCAGTCTTTGCTTCTCGCTCCAACTCCGCGCTCGGCCACAAGATCTCAGAAAAGACAGGACGGACTTTTCCCACTCTATAAAACAGTTTTTATGCATCCAGTTTCCTAATGTACAAGCATCATTATTGCAAACTACCTTAACAGCATCACACGGGTCGGATGGATCTATAGGATCGTCGCTACAGCCAGTTGGAACACAACAGTTTTGCAATCGTACACCGTTTTCATTATCCTGATGATGTTGGTGTTCCATACGAGGATTGTTTACAACAAGCTGGTTTCCAATCTGATTTTGTTGCACTTCGTCTTGGCCATTGCGATGGCCTTTATGGTGTTTTATATTAGGCATTTCAAAACGAGCAACGCGTAATATAAAATTCACTAAACCTGAATATGTTTTTAGAAATTCACAGTACTGCACAAGTATTTGATTCGCACTCTTTTATCTCAATGCCGGTCTGTGATGAGAGTAACTTCGATTAGAGTAGAGAGGTGTGTCGTCGCAGGCAAATTGTAAGCGAGGTTATGATTGGCTGTTCGTCCCGAGGCTGCCGGCAGTGAGCCTTTTGCATTGGCGAAATCACCATGACCTTGTAAACTCATTCTGGTTTATGTTGATGAGGTGTTTACATCCCTTCAGTTTATAGGTCGAGGTCTTTCGTTCTACCAGCCGGCCGGTTAAACTTGTGATACAAAAATATAATTTGTATAACAATCAAGATATAATAATATTAGACTGCATCGAAATTAAACAAGCTTATGAAAAAGAAACTAATTATTATTTTAAAAAAATAATTATATAAAACCAGTAAGAGTGCATTTGTATCAAATGTAAATGTATACGCGCTAGCGGCAGTGTCAAGGACAAAGCATAAACAAACACGTAACTTTATGCCTTGATAACACTGCAGGTCTATTTTTAAAATACTAGTTGCATTGTGGACAATTTCTTAAACCTAGTTCTGGATCGTTCTGTTGTTGATATGGTCCTAGTGTCTTTGAAGCTTTGCACTAACTTAATCCAATTCTTTAAACAATTTCTGTTACACTTGCAAAAAAAATAATGTAAAACAGGGTACGGGGTCTACGGTGATAGTGGCAGCACTGCGTGGTACGCCTATATGCTTTATTTTCTAATGCCATAAGCCGTAGATTGAATTAAAAAAAAAATAGCAATCTAAAATTGCATAAAATCTTGAGGGTGACCACACAAAATAAATAACAGGAGAGGTTTTATTCAACTGTTGCAAAAAAAAAAAAAGGGGGGGGGGGGTTAAGAGTGTGTGTGTGTGTATGTGGAATATAACAGACTCATTATTTTATTGGGGAGGGGGGGGGGAACTAAGACCAACATGAGTCTTGTGTTGTGGACTAAAGTACCATGCATAGCCGACAATTTACACCAATGGTTCTAAGACTAATTTGAGTAGTGATCCCTATTTCATAAAATGATTATCCCTGGGTGGCCGCTTGGTCATGTGGTATGCTCTTTGGACTGGTGTTCGGCGTTTTCGATGGTCCCAGTTAATTAAGGGGCTCTGTCCGCTGCCATCCCCCCGTCGTTCTGCGGGACCTTTGGGTTAGCATGGACTTATCCTCAAGTCTGAAGGATTTTATAAGTCTTACGACTCGACCACATGCCAACCAAAGTCTTTCCCCCCTCTCCCCTTACCCTTTTACAATCGTTTCCCAACAGTTGCATGTGCCAGGTTTTAGCCATAGTCAGATAACAGGTCGTAGGCTTTTGCAAATTGATATCGGCGGCGTACTGGAATGTAAGGAGTAGGATAGCCTAGGTAACAATTATTCTAGGGTACAATAAACGTCTTCCGAAAAAATGAAGGGTCAGAATGTATAAAGATTAATTATGTACACGCAAGCACACACACACACACACATATATATATATATATATATATTTATTTATTTTATATGATAGAGTAAGGCTGAGAGGCTAGCTTGAGATTGAGAAGCTAGATTTAGAAAGGCCGAGAGGCGGTGTGAGGCTAG